ATTGTAAATAATGTTTTTGATAAGATTTTATTAGTATTTCAATGTCATTTTACTATTAAAATGTGTTTAAAAAATTATTTTATACCCCTACCCCCTGTTTGAAAATGAATAGATGGCGCCTCTTTAACTGCCCATAGCAAATTCGTTTACCACACATTTTTACTCCACCCAAGATGAATTTATTCTAGAGAGTGTCTGGAACAAAATGATACCCACAAACCTTTTTTCCGAGCCGAGTAACGAAATCAGACCTAGGGACAGCACTATTGATTTAGAGTGTCATATTGATTAAGCCATCTGCTTAAGCTGTTGCTCCCATCATAAAAATGGAAGGGACCGAGGGAAGATATCATATCATCCCAAAGATTAAATCCAATATATGGTCCCCATCAATCGATCAGTCATTCCTCAATCAAGATATATATCTGATTGATCGATTTAAGGATTTAAGCCTTTAACTCCGCGTAATGTGGAATGACCATTTCTTGATGGGTTTGTTTTCCAAATTTTGCACGAGATTCTTTGCATCGAGTGCTAATTTTAGGAAACAACTCCTGAAAGGAATAGTCATTCCACAATACATTGAGTCTTGGGCTTAAATTCTTTTCACACATTGAAAATATGTTCTTCCATATCACTTCAAACATATAAGATATAATATAACATAATCGTTATAAGTTAGAGTGTAATAACAAGTACGATCTGAGCTTTTTTTTGAATAGTCTTACTAAGACCCTGAGCCCCCCTCCCTCTATTCTATTTCACCAAGTGTTATATTGGTGAAGGTGATGTACATAGGGGGGGGGGGGGTTACACAGGTTTGAACGACAAAACGTTGAAAACAATTTCAGATGAAATCACCTTGAGAATAATCAGTGAAATTGACCATGTAATAACTACAAGTCTTGCATAAGTGAACATTTACAAATTGACATAAACATTGATGTACGTGTCAATAACATATTGCCAGTGCTCCATATGTAGAAAACATCCTGCTTAAAAGCTTTATTTTGTTCTTAAAAAATATTAGATGAAGAGTGAATTAAACTGTTTATAATTAGGGAACTTAACTCTATAGAAATTAAGTTTCATAGAATCGTTTAAATGTAAAAAATATTTGGTAATTAGATGAGATGAAAAAGATGAAGAAAAATGTGTTTTCACTGAAAAATAAGATCTTTTGTAAGATGACACATTGCATGTGACGTAATTGTAGGATTTTTTTGTATTATAGAATGCTATATTAGTGTGCATTAAGTATGTGCGAGGCAACTGGGAATAAAGCCTTCTAATATGTCAAAAGGAAAATGGTGTTTTTATTAATAATAAGTATAAGTAAGTGCAAAAAGGCAAAAAAGTACAGCTGAAAATTAAATTTTCAGAGTTGATAAACACTTTTTAGAACCATATAGATTTCAAACCTGATATCACTCTCACTGAATTTTGAATTTTTAACGGTATAAATCTACTCCCTTCTAGTATATTGCAGTAAACACTCAGAATTAGATAAAATATGATATTTATTGTTTTTATTGTATTTTTAGTATGTGTGTCAATGAAAGCCGTCTCAAAGTTATCTTATTGTCTAACTTGTTCCATATTAGTTTGTCCAAGATCAATTTATAAGATCATTTTATCTAAGATTGATTTCTCTAAAATCAGTTTGTTCAAGATGAATAATTCAAGATTGATTTTTTTAAGATCAGTTTGTCCAAGATCAATTTGTCTCCAATCATTATTTTAAAGATCAATTTGCCCTATATCAATTTGTCTAAAGATCATTTTGTCTGTGTCTAATTTCTAAAAATAATTATCCAAGATCGATTAGTTCAAGATCACTTTGCCTAAAGCAGTTGTCTCAAGATCATTTTGCTCAAGATCAGTTTGTCTACTACATTTTGCCCAAGGTCATTTTGTCTAAATATCTTTTTGTTCAAGAATTTGCCTTATTTTATTCAGAATAGTTGTCATTTTGCCATCAGAAAATCACTTTTTAAAACTGTCTGCTTTTACTTGCTTTAACCTAGTAAGGTAATTCTTCACTTGTTTCATTAACAGTGCAAACCAATGATGTCTAGAAGTTTTTGTGTAACCTGGCAAAAAATCAAGATCAACATCTTGGTTGTTAAATACTTGTATCTATAGTGTATGTATCAGTTTTCAGATCAGTTGTCTTGATTGATCATTCGGTGAATGTTTTGGCGTAAAATGCCACAAAAATTCAAGTCACACCTTTTGATCATACAATTTTTTATGTTGTTATTCTCTATAACAACTGCTTCGATTCACTATTATTTCACAAACATCTCCTGATGTGTTATATACACTGAACGTATTTATTGTATCTGGCAGTTTCCTTAAAAAGCTAATGTACCTTTCCTCTTTGATGTCAGAAATTCATATTACTAATTGTAATAAATGTTTCAATACACTTTGATTTTGCATACAACTCCTGATATTTTATATAAGGTGTCTGTAGTTTCCGTTTAAAATCGAATGTTGCTTCCCCTTTGACGTCAGAAAAACCATATTTCTGATTATATGGATACTTTTGTCTGTTATGTCTGCCACTCTCATTATAGACTTGTAGGTTGCTCATAATCAATTATCACATCTGAAATGATTTTCTTTAACAAAATGCAAAATGTATGTGATAAAATGTTTAGTACAGTTAAACCTGTATATATTGAACATTTTGCCAAGAAAAAACATTCAGCGTTGGAAGGTGTATTATACAGAGAGGGTAATTCATACGGAAGTCAATACAGTATGTGCAGAGGAAGGATGTTCACTAGAGACAGGTGTTCACTAGAGAGAGAGGTGTTCACTAAGACAGGTTTCGCTGTATAAAGAATTCTTGTATCACAAATGAATGGGCATAGAATCAGTTCAACATTCTAAGGTTGATTAAACTAAAATTGGAGGAGGTCTTAAGATGTGAAAACATAAGGATAAGAGGCCCCAAAACATCTGGTTTTAGTTATCTGGCTAAGAATTATCTCAATGTCAGGTATATTGATATGAGGCAGTGACCTATCTCATGTTTTCCTGAACAGCTTAACAGTATGCTAAATTCAAATTTTACCTGTAGTCCATTTGTCATTTTCTGAACGTATGAATAGTTAAAAGTATGATGTTTTTCTTCGTAAATACTATCATTAGGGATTATTGGAGTGATTTAGCCGGGTTGCCAAATAATAACTTTGGGGAAAAATTTTGTATCTATTCCCATTGCAACATACTAGGTATATGGTGGTATCCCAACGCTAAGTCAATAGTCAACGCCATGTTAAGCTATTGCACCCCTCCCTAATCAGCCTATATAATTTTTTCCCCAAACAAACTTTTTTGGCAACCCAGTTAAATCACTTCAGAAAACCTTTATTATCATAAATCGACCCTAAAACATCGTACTTTTAACAATTTCTACGTTTACTATTGGATGTATAGGGGTGACAAATGGACTACTGCTTTTTGTTCAAAATACCTCATTTTCTTCATTTTTTCATTCTATTCACAAGGTGCTAACAAGTTTTCATCTCGGACAATATGCAGAATTTTTTATTTCTTCTTTGCAGTTCTACATAAAAATATCTATCATGTTGATAGATAAAAGAAGCCATAAATATTAGAAAAGGTGGTCTTTTTAAGAGTACAAAATCCTCAAACTAAGATATCCTAGAAATCAATGTCTTGCTCATATAACTAGCTTCTGTGTCCCCACCAGAAGTGGTGACATATTGTTACAGTCTCCAACTTTTTTTTGTGGACAGTGTTTGATATTCAGTGTTTGGTGTTTTAACAAATGGCAGATGGTGACAATGATGGTTGGTGTTTGGCATCTGTAACAAATGGTAGGTAGTGACATTCTGCATTATTGCTTTGTTAAAACTGTATTCAAGTTAAGATTCAAGAAATCATTAACTTCAATACTTTTATCAGTATAGTTATTAAAAACTAGAGATACAACTCAAATTTTTTTAACCATGATCTTGAACTTACCATGGCTATTAGGAAAAAGTACATTTGAAGTATGCTTCATAGACAGACAAACAAACTCGCGCGATAATAACTATATGCAAACAGGTGAATATGTCAGCGAGTTGGTTGTGACTATTTCAATCCTGAACCAAGGCATCAAAACAATATTCCAGATATGTCAATTTGACTTCCAAGGACATAGTCTTCAAACTAGTTCTGATTATTGAAACATCCGATGGCACCATCAAAACAACTTCAGAAATTATATCGATAAAAGTGCATGCACTCTATTGGCTAACAGGGCCAGCCTGTAGTACATAAGCATCGTTGAACTGGTTCAAATTATTAATAAAAGAAATGGCTACTTCGTAGAATCATAACTGAATGGGAGGAATTGTATCAATGTTATGCTTAACAGGATGATTGTCTTATGGATAATCAGTTCAATTATTCATAGAAATGACAAATGGTTTACATAATTTAAAGGCAGAATCAGATCTATAGGGGGTAACAAAATTGCAAGCAACATGTACAGTTGACCTACCAATATATTCCTAACCATCTCAAATATGATATTTTCCAAGAGATCCGTGATGATCTTATCAATCGGTGAAGTTGTATGAGATCCAATGTGCAAAAATGGGGAAAATGTTTACATTCTCCCAAATAATAAATGTTAATCTTTTCCATGAAATAAAGTACCGTATTTACTTTGGTTTTCTATTAATAAGGAATGATGAGCCCAAAATATTCTAAAACTGAAACAGTTTTTGTTAAGGTTAATCGCTAGATCTGACAATACCTTTAAAGTTGTAAAAAAAATTCCCAGGGAAATATGTTATTTACTTATTAGATGTATTAAGTATACACATGATTCTCATAATTTAAAAGTGGGTGCAATAAAGAATGGAGAGGAGTTGAGAATCAAGGGTTGTGATATCTTTTGCCCTTAACATCTCGTTTCATGCCTATTTTCTAGTTTAGTTCATGATCTAATTCTTTTGTTTTTTTACTTCCAGAGACATGTTTTAAAGTATGACAAATTATTGAAGAACACACGGCGGCCAGAAGTATTAATTAAAGAAATAAAGGTGAGTGTTTTAAATTTAGGACATTTCTTTTGCTCATAAATTATACCTATGAATTCATTGTTAGAGATCACAAACTTCTGATCACCACCTGATGTTTCATGACATGTGACCTGATTTTGACCAATCATACAACTGCAAACATTGACTACCACCTGATCTTTCATGACATGTGACCTGATTTTGACCAATCATACAACTGCAAGCCTGACTACAACCTGAACTTTCACGACATGTGACCTGATTTTGACCAATCATACAACTGCAAACTTGACTACCACCACCATGACATGTGCCCAGATTTTGACCAATCATACAACTGAATGATTGACAGTGATATAATAATTAGTTATTCAAAGTATTGTGCCTAAGAAAGTGTGTATTTCATGACCTGCTTACTCTTATCTCACCGCGTTTAAGGAAACCCAGCCAATTGGATCTGGAAATTTGAATGATATTGAATAAATTGCAGAATGTATTTTGGGTATTGATAAGCAAGTTATTTCTGGTTTGATTTGAAATGACACTAACCTTATTTATGATGTGTTTAAGAGCCAAATCTTCAGCTCAATAGCCTAACACTTTGACTTTTGATCAAGTCTCATTGTAATAAATCATTTCAACTCTTTCCTTATCGAGTCTCAAGGTCATCTTGCCTTGTAGTCGCAAGATATGATGAGTATCAGAAGAATCAAAAGCCATGATGATGTATAATTATTTTTTCATGGATCTTTGTTCTTTCGATTAAAGGCCCCATGCAGAGTTCGAAAACTGTTTTAATAATCATCCAAACTTAATTTGTTATAACTTCAAAAAAGATTTTCAGACATTTTTCAAGAATACTTATTGATCTCAAAATGTGCTTCATGTTAATCTTTTACATCAGTATTTGTCTTCTGTCAATCAGTGCTCTTTGGAGTGAAATTGTTTCACAAAAATATGCTAATAGTCTGCCAGATTTTTGATTAAACGCCAAATTAAACTCTTTTAAATGAATCTGATTTTTATGTCTTTCATCCTTCATGTTTCTTGATTCCTTGCTATTTCAATCATTTTCTACTAATTTTAAATCTTGAAATATGGCCATCATCGGTTCAGATTGATAGCCAGGAAATTGTGAAGTAAAAATAGAACACTACTGACTAGTCTTAGGCTAATATGCGTCAAATAAAACTTGACTTGAACGTCTTGTAATTATTTTTATCTGTTATCTTTATCTTGGCAAGTTTGATTAAGTGAATGTTTTGGTTACATAAACATTAAAACATCTCATTTCCCAAGAAGTCAAGTTTCTTTGGGCTTCAGTATTTCTTTCATGAGTTAAGAATGTTTCTCTCTTAAATTTGAAATTATAGGGATTTTCTGGTGTTTCTATAATTTAGGATTTATCGATTACATGTCATCAATTTCAATACAATTTGAATGTTGACTATATGTGAGTCCTATCCTCTCAATTTAATTTTTCGTCACACTTTGAAAAAGTGCGATATTGTCATCATTATGTGATGATGAGTAGGTTGGCGTGCCATGCACCACATAAATCTTGTCATCAAAATTCAAGGAAAACCACTTAATAAATCCTTTCAACATGACATTTTCAAAGAAGCAAAGGCTGATGTGGCCAGTGCCAAGATCTGATTAGGTTGTGGGCATGCTGGGTAAATTACATGGCAGCCATTTCACTTTTCAAATAGTTCAATATTTATCAGTTTGTTGTTCCGTTTTGAGACTTTGTCACCATGCCATTTATCTCTATGAGATAAGTGTCTCACCCAGGTGCGCAAAAACATTTCAGGTAGATCCAGTAAAATAGGTAATTGGCTTATTTGTTAGACATTTAAATTAACGATTAGCATACCATGGTCTGCCTTACTAGAAACACACAGGGAGAACATCCATGCTCCATATGAAGAAATCAAGATAATGAATAAGAAATAACTGAATTTATAGTCTAGCTACAACAGCCTATGTGACCCCCACTACATATCCCAACAAGTGTGAGAAGGTGTGTATTCCCCTAGGGGGGGGGGGGAGGGGAGGGTCACATGGGATTGCAGCTAGACTACCAAATTTAAGATTTGTTCAGGAGGAATTTTAATGAAGTCTTATTGTCGGGTCTTACATGAAAAACTAGGGTAGGTACGTTCTGGTATGCCAGAGCCCCTCTTATCTGCCGTTTGCGAGAAGGATAAAGACAAAGGGGGCGCGGCTATCGCGATGGGGTAGGTTAAGTAATATGGTAATCTTGCTAGTTGGATGTTATATTACATGAGGACTTGGATATGGGTACAAAGGAGTCTCAATCTACCCACCTTAAGGCAACTTGTATGGGATTGACTAGGCAATTCTTTAGGTACATTGGTCCATCCATATGTTGGTCCATCCTTCATTTAAGGCAGGCGAAGTAGAATGATTTATTGAGTTATTTGTTGCTATTTCCATCTAGATTTGAATACTGAGGTCTCAATGTAGTCCCAAACTACCTACCTTAAGGCTTAAGCGGACTTGTTTTTCATTTAAGGCAGACAGAGTAGAAAGTTAATTTGTGCTTATTGGGACTATTTCCATCTAGGGGTCTTTATGTAGTCCCAAACTACCTACCTTAAGGCTTAAGCGGACTTGTTTTTCATTTAAGGCAGACAGAGTAGAAAGTTAATTTGTGCTTATTGGGACTATTTCCATCTAGGGGTCTTTATGTAGTCCCAAACTACCCGCCTAAAGATGGTTTGCTATTATTAGAACAGAAAAATAAATTGAAAGTGACATTTGTCACACACTTGACTCATTGGAAATAGCTATTTTTGATTTAATCAGAAGAAATGAGACTTCATCAGTCTTGACATAAATGTTAGGACAGTGACATCAGGTCAGGATAGCCTTACTTCTAGAACTTTAACCTTCTTTTCTATAAAAAATTTATACCTTAAAGAGGCACATGCTAACTTTTCAGGTTAAGTCACTTTTTTATCTGCTCATTAAAGATCTTAATCCGAATTCCATGAAAACTGCTTGTCTATTTAACTTGAAGTTCTGATTAGGTTTTTGGCATGCTAGATGAATTTTATAGTGGCCATTTCCCTCTCCAAATATTAATTGCAAGTGTAATATTTATCCTGCATGTCTTGTTTAATCTGCATATTTGAAAGCTGCATTTAAGATCTATACAGTATCAAATTGAAGGAGAATTGGCTCCCAGGGATGCAGCTCAAAATTTTCCAACAATGAGAATGTTAAAATGTCGTTACTTTCTAAAATCATAACTGACTATAAATGCATAATCATCAGTTCAAAAGATTTGAACCAATACCTCGATCACTTCTTGTGCTTTTTGGAATTTTTTTAATGGAAATGAGACAAAAACTCGTGATTCAAATTTTGAAGTGAACAAAATGGTGACTATTTGAATTTTATAAACATGACATCTCCATATTTGGCAGTATATCTAGTAGGAAGCATGAGACTCATTGGTCGAAACTGTATTAAGAGTGCATTGTAGCTAGCGAATCAGAATAAATAAATCAAATACTCATTTACTGAGTTCCTTATCTTTAATTGAAATTTCTTGACTTTTTGTTCATCATCGTATTACATTTGAATCCTCTCTTCTGGTTTATTATTCTTATACAGAATAGGTTCATGTTTCCCTTGTGAAAATATCATGGTAGGGATGGTGATTTGAAGTGGGAGTAGAAAAGAGGGGAGTCCACAAGAAATATTTAGTGAACTAGCCAGCACTATAATTTGTACAGAAATATCTGTAATTCAGTTGGCTGTTAAAGATGCATTATGCCATAGGTTTCTCCCCCAGACAATCAATGATGTCCTATTGTTATTGCTCATATAATATCTCATATCATGGATATATCTTGAGAATAACTTTTGGGTATATTATTGCCGAAATATTGGAAATAATCAACAGAACAACCAAACTCCAGAATTAAACACAATTGATTCCTCGGCTATCGAGGGGAATCCCTATTGAGTCACACAAGCGCCTTGTACCAGGGAGCCAATCAGGTTTATGATAAACAAATTCAACGACCAATCAGATAACAGGAGGACTTTCCCGGAATATTCAAACTTCAGATTGAATTAATTTCTTCGAAAATAATTAGATCGGCCAGCACAATCGCAAAATTAACACTGAAAGAGGGGGATTTGGGACTTCTTCTTTGGTAAGTAGATGGTATATATGTGGTGAAACTCAATAAGCAAAAAAGTCCAGAAGGGTCTTGATTGTGCTATCCTATGGCATAGAGCCTCTTTAATATTTTACCAAAGTATGGAATAAAAATGAATATACCATGTTTATTCAAAGATGAATTTCATTTTCATAGCTGCTAAATTTTACTGGATTTAATCATGACAAAACTAAATACAGTTTAGATGACATACAAGAGTATTGCTATGGTTACCAATAATCAAATTGTCAACATCTTCATGATTATATCTCCCCATTTTTTCTGAACGAATGTGACTCTCTTGAGTTTTTGAATTCTTTTTGGTCAAAATATGCCAATTTTCCATGATCTTATTCAAGCACTGTGAATATATGATTAGGTATTTACATGATTTAGATAGGGGTGGGCTTACTTTGAAAATCTCCCATGTGAGCAGCGTCAACCTGCTCAAATGCTGGGGAGATCACTGTATAGATATTTTTGAATTTCTACACCAGACTGTTCCTTGTCTGATTACCTCATTCTACAGCAATGCCAATATAATTCCACTGTTTCTCATTTTATTATGCATTTTAAACCATACTTAAGGAGATCCTTCATACAGAATCTCTTGACGATTATCAGGTTTCTTGAGGTTAAGGCAAAGTGGATAAATCAAACATACAAAAAACATTGGTCAAGTCAATAAGGCATATTATTCTGACAGCGAGAAAGTGTTTTGAGAGTATACTCATGATTGAGATATCCATCTGCTCATATCTATTTCACACCATTTCACTCTAAAATTTGAATAAATTGTCAAATTTTCTGATGTTTCTATATAATTTAGAGTGTAAACTTCCAAGCTTGTTTATTATGTTCCTTGTCTTTTCCTATTGCTATTTGATTTGATTTTCAAAATAGAGAAGAATATCTTGATGTTTGGTTTTGGGTAGATCATTAATCAAATCTTTAGACCACCAGAAAAAAACTTCATCTTCACATAAGGTGTTAAAGGCTCATTTGTATATCTACCTGATGTGTTAAAGGCATATCTCTAACTCCAATCTGTAAATAATTTCATTAGGTAAGAACAATACTATACTGGTACTTTTATTCATTATCCATTTGACACTACTACAATAATTTACAGTAAAACGTGTGTAAGCGGAACACTTTTGGTACCTCTAAAAAGTGTTCCACTCGGAAGGTGTTCTACTTGCAGAGGTCATTTAACAATAAGTCAATAGGTAGGGGGACTTTTAAAGGTGTTCTACTTTTGGAAGTGTTCCACTTATAGAGGTGTTCTACTTACAGAGGTGTACCACTTTACAGGTTTTACTCTACATATTGCAGTTAGTGTCAAAAACGATAAATTAAAGTACATGACGGTTTTTCTGTAACTTAATTAATTAATACCTCATCTCTATTAAAGGATAATCTGTTAGACATGACCTAATTTTTATTAAATGTAAGGATGGTATTTAATTATCAACAGTTGTGGAAAAACAAAATTTATTCCATTAGTTCTTTAGTAAACAATGATTTCACTCAAGAAGAATGTTGTTTTTGGAATAACAAATCATCATTTTCACGTTTTGTTGCATGATTTAATAATTAATTCTTTTTCTACAACCGTTGAGAAATTTATAAGATAAGTATGAGTAAAAACCAATAGGAAAGTACCAAAAATGGTTACAGAACTCGGCAAGAAAAGTAAAACATCTAAGAATACAATAGTCATAAGGAAAACAAACCCCAACTATCCCAAATCATAATCTAACTTGAAAAGAGACAGTGTCTAATACCCCCTCCCTTACCATTCAAGAATAAAGATACATAACACGAGAAGGAAAACGTTAACACATTGACCATGATCAGTAGTGGACCCATCTGACCTGGATTAAGCACTTGATTTTCATGACATATTACATACTACTGTACCGTACTATACCAAAAAAATTTTGGACCGTGATACCTCTATTGTTTAATACCCCTTCCCCTGCCATTCAAGTATAAAGATGCATAGCACAAGAAGGAAAACGTTATCACATTGACTATGATCAGTAGTGGACCCATCTGACCTGGATCAAGCACTCAATTTTCATGACACATTACATACTACTCAGTACTGAATGAAAGCAGCTGATCAGATTATAAATTGTGAAGCATGCCGGAAAAGTAATGTTGCTGATTTGATACAAAATGGTGTCAAATATTGCTGCCTAATTAAGTTCAAAATTAGATTAATATATTCATCTCTTATTCTCATGTTCTTCAATGAATACAATAAAAATCAGTGATAAATAGATGTAGGTTGTTATTTGGATCGTGACTGTCTTAAATAAAATATTATGTAAATTAGAAAAGAGTGGAATCAGCAAGGAATAACAGGGGTTTCACGAGAATTTCTCACAACTGGCAAAATAAATGAAAACATCAGGCAAAATTAATGGAAATCATAAATTTAACATAGAAAAGTTCAAAAGTCTTTAAAACAACAGGCGATTTTATGAATAGAACTGGTGAAAATCGCCTGTTGCCTCCTGCCAATGAAACCCCTGAATTAACTAAAGATGCTAGTAGCTATCACTCTAAATTGTGTAAAAATGTAAGAACTTTGGGAAGTTTCTTTAAATTTATGGATAAATATAGCGATTAAAGCCTGACTGAATCATAATGGAAAATATCAAGTTCAATTGTAGACAAAACATTCACCAAAGTTAAATTAACCTCAATAATAATTGATTTTTTTGCGTGTATTATTTTAGTGAATCAATGTTTCGATTTTAGATATGCCATCAATGCTTCTAGGTCCTCCAGAGTTCACGAACAACCTTTCAAGATTGCATAACTTGTTTTTTTAATTATGGCGATTGGGTTTCCTATGGGGAGAATATAATATAAATAGCTCTTCTGTTCTATTAATACCCGCTTTATTTTTAAACAACAACAATTGTTTGCTGGCTTAAACTTACAGGAAGAATGATATGTGGGGGAGGAAAGTTCATCTATTTAAGGTGATGCGACGGAAACTGCCCCAAGATCCCCTCCAATGCTCCAGAATATAGTTTTGAAGTTATTCTCACGATATATTGAGTAAAATTCATTTTTCTTAGGTCCATCCTTATTACCTGATATCAGTACTTGTTATTTGATGCAAATACTTATCCTTGTTGAAATATTTATTTAATAATGCATGCCTGAGATATTGCCTTAAGATATTATAAGTGTGTTATAAGTAAAATATGGTATATGTTGTTTTTTTCTGTTCCTAAGTTTCTAGTTTTTCTAATTCAAAATATATTATTTTATGAATACTTTTACACAATCAACTTATACATTTCTCTTTTTACTTTCAGAGTATGATAGATATGACATTAAATACACCAATACAAGACCCACTGGTCTACCAATTTCCATTAGAACTAGTATCACAACTATTATCACAGGTAAGTGTCTATTTTTTACTGTATAAGTCATCCATTTGCTTATAGCTGGTTCTTGTAATTTTTCGCCATTTCTCTTATAATTTTTATCAACATATCGTTAATGCCTCAGTCAAATTTGGTCTATGGCAGCCATAGCTTCCCAAAATTGAGAGAAATATGCAGCATAAAATAAGCAGTATGATGTCAATTTTTTTTATCAATTTTGTGAAGCTATGGCCACCATTTTTAATGGCCGTCGTATAGCAAATGTGACTGAGGCTTCAGTAATGGTACATAAAAGTACAGTCTATACATTGTTGACAGAACTCATTTGCATGACTGGCTGAGAAAATAGCAAGAAGGTAAACGAAATAACTCTGACTACTGAACCAAACTTATATTTTTCGTGATTTAATTGTTCATGAGATCAAATTGTTATTAACTGTTTGAAGCTTATTTGATCAGGTCAAGTCTACTTTATAAGTATAATACCTATACTACGCATAAGTAATTTCTTTGATTATCACAATATTCGACATTATGTTGTCAGTTCATCTGAGTTCTAATCATTCTGTCATCATGCTTATGAGATCAGGTCATGTCTCCTATGCTGTATATTGTAATACCTGTATTATAAATAAGTAATTTCTTTGATTGTCGTTATATGTGATCAGTTCATCTGAGTTCTTGTCATTCCGTCATCATGATGTTATTATGATAATCATGCATCATTCAAAAATTAATTATCCGCTTGACCATGCATATTTCATGTTTTTATAGCACCCTTTGGTGCTATATTGTGATCAGTTTGCTGGGAGGGTGGAAGGGCGGTCTGCTGGGTGGGCGGTATTTGTCCCAATAATCGACATTCTGGGTTAATGTAAAGGCTGCCATTTTGGATTTTCCGTCTTAAAATCATTTCAGTTAAGACTTGTTTTCACTTAAATCTGAATAACTGCTTCATAGTTTACGTTTCTATAACTTAGAGTGTTGATGATAGCATTAGATACTTTGTAAATGATCTAGAGGAAATTAGCTCATTTTCCAGTTCCTGATGTAATAGTACACCTTTACATGAAGGAGTCACAAAATAGGTACCTTATGCAATCATTTGACTTCACTTCTTAAAAGAGAGCTTCATCATCACTCTTTTAGTTTTCAATAAATCTCTAAATTTACTAAGCTGAGAAACCATAAAGGGCAGTGTCAAGCCCTATTAAGCATAATAAAGGAAATGACATTGGAAATTACTTTAAACAAAAAATCCTGGTTATCCTGTTTTGAGATCAGAATAGATTAAAATGATGAGATTAACATGGAATAGACAGGCATGTCTGTAAAATTCAAGAGAAAACAGTTTATTCAAAAAATCTTGCAAAAAGATAGAAAATACTCTCACCAAGTCAGTTTTTTCAGGTGATTATTAACCAACAGATTTACTGGCGGCAAAAAGTTAGTTTTAAAAGTTCAATCTTGGTGATTGGGTCCGCTGGCAGTTGTAGTGGACATATTAGCCTGGGTGAATGCTTACGCCAGAAGCATGCTAAAGGTTAATATGGGAGTATATTTATTGGAGTAAAATTAACATTATTTGAGAAATATGAAATATTGTCATGGGGAATCATGGCCTTCTATCAGTTCATTTCTAGAAATAGTTGAAAAACAGAAATATGTGATGAGTATCAAAATGATGAAAAACTAGTATTACAATAATTAATAAACAGTGAACAAATCTGGGAAGACAATGTTATTTTTCCAGGCATCATTGCTTGTCGAAAACATCAGTTTGGCCATGAAAAGTTAATGATTTTGTGTCTTGATTTAATGCTTTTTCATTCTCATCTTTCAATTTTAATGAAAAGGATAATTTGACATTTTTGTAGCTGTCCTTTCAACGACTAATTCATTTGATAATGTATTATCTAGCAGACTTGTTATTTTAACATTAACTGCTGTTATTGAACCATTTGGGTACTATTTATATAGTCATGGCATTTAAAGGTAAAAATGTAACCTGCTTTGAGAGAAATTTCATGATTGTCATATATTGAAATGCAAAATACAATTCAAAATACGAGAGGAATTTGAAAAAAGTTAAGATGTAGGTAGATATTAGTCTAAATTGTATAAAAATGCGAGAAAGTTAACCAAATCATTGAAACTTTAGAGATAAACAATGTGAATAAATGTTAACAGCACAAATATTTTTTTCGGGGGATTCTTGGAAAGAGATAACACTATAGCATGACAAATGCTTATTTGACGTCAATCGCAGCCTATTTAGGATATTAATCTTGATAATAGGTTTTACAGGGAATATTGCATATGTAATAGAACTGAGCAAAAAATATATGGTCAGAAACTGTGACGCATTTTTATGTCACCTTCAGAAGTGGTGACACATTGTTACAGTCTCTAACTTTTTTGTGGATCGTATTTGGCGGTTGGTGTTCAGGGGATGACATCTGTAACAAATGGCAGGTGGTGATATTTTGCATATTAATGCCTTGTTTTTTATATGTAATGCCAATGGTTTGTATGACTGATGTTCGTGAATGACATTTGGTATCAGTAACAAATCGTTACACTTATGTGATTACAATCAGTCCACCCATTATGCCTCAGTGGCAGAGTCAAGGTTACCACTATCGCTTGGCCCGGGTTCGATTCCCAGTTCAGACAAGTTTGTTTGTGCGTTATGTAATTCTGGGTGTTTGACTGAGTGGTTCATGGCTCGTATAAAAGGCTGTGCGGTGTACTTGTATGTACCCGTGCACACAAAAGAACACAGGGCTCCTCCAAGGGAGGGGGGGGGGGGTTCTGGCCCTGTCTTTGAGTGTAAAATATGGAATATACCAATGGGGTATTGTTCGCCAAATATGGCTGTAACCAAGATATAATACAATCAGGGGATGACATTGTATCATGTAATGTACTGTTATTTTATATACAGGTACATTTGCAGTTTAATTCATAATTCCAATCAAATTTGAGGTAATCCCAAGTTCGTTGACACGAAGCAATAACCTAATGGAGGAAAACATACTCAAGGGAGTATTTCTACATTATTACATCGACTGACATTGATCGCCTGTTGTCTTTGGCTGAAATGATTACAAAGCACTGATAAATAATGCATTCATTGTAGCAGGCTATTTATCAAACCTTGACCACCTTTCAAACTCAATGGAGTAGAACACTCCAGAGGGGTTTCATGGATTTTGTTTTGGGTATTATCACTCAATTGAGGATGAAACATGGCTCTAAAGCTGTCATAGGTGAATTAATTCCTCACATCATTGAATGTAAAGTGAAAGTGAAACATATCTCAAACCTCTTTAATCTGAACACCTCTCAATGCGAACACTTTATTTTTATCCCTTCCAAATGTGTATATAATATTTGTTGGCATGTATGAAATATTGTTATAAATTGTAGTCATGATAAGGGGTCCTTATTTATCTGAGATTTGTCACTGGCTCAAGATAAGGTCTAAACTCTGATATTTAAAGTCACTAGAGGCAAGGCAGCACCATCTATCGTGAACATACTCATCATATAGATATTCTTAACCTTTTCAAACTCGTTTGTTAGCTTTTTATAATATCTCCCCAGCATTGATACAACTAGGTACTGCATCTACCTTAATCTTTAAGTAGACTAGGATCCACTTGAAAACCTATTTTCGCTATTTCCGAGGTAATAATTATTGTTCCATTTACAGCGTAATTGTGCACTGATTTTTCCGAGAATGCATCGGCCAGATACACTTTTTGTCATTTGATAAATCAGAGCCTATCGCAAGTGTCAAATAAAGAGGGTGACTGATAATTCAGAATGACACATTCGATGAAATGATCCTTGGGGAACATTGCTTTATTTTTTCAACGCTGATTGGGAAATATAAATTCTCTGTAACAATGCATCATTCATGTGTATTGTTTGTTTGTTTGTTTGTTTTTTGTTTGTTTGCTAACATGATTGTTTGTTTGTATTTTCAGAATCAGGATTTTATAACTAGACTCGCACATGAGAACATAATAGTAGCGCTAGCACCACTTTTAGAAAATAACCATCCAACACAAGAAATATGTGACTTTTTTAGTAAGGTAAGTCCAACACAAGAAATATGTGACTTTTTAGTAAGGTAAGTGCTGATTTCATACCATTTTCTTCATTGAACTGTTTGGTTTTTCATCAAACTTGAAAAGTGCTTTGTTCTTATGTTGATGATAAGTGCTAGTTCCATATACCATTTTCTTCATTGAACTGTTTGGTTTTTTTCAAACTTGAAAAGTGCTTTGTTCTTATGTTGATGATAAGTGCTAGTTCCATATACCATTTTCTTCATTGAACTGTTTGGTTTTTCATCAAACTTGAAAAGTGCTTTGTTCTTATGTTGATGATAAGTGCTAGTTCCATATACCATTTTCTTCATTGAACTGTTTGGTTTTTCATCAAACTTGAAAAGTGCTTTGTTCTTTTGTTGATGATAAGTGCTAATTCCATATAGCATTTTCCATATTGAACTGTTTGGTTTTTCGTCAAACATGAAAAGTGCTTTGTTCTTTTGTTGATAGACATGCTGTCAAGCAAGTAGGTGTATTGTTGCCACAATAAATTATGTCATCAAGATGAAAAAATGAATCTGTTCATCTGTCTGCATTCTGATGTTCATAGCATCTCTCTCACTTTGCAGCGCAAGAAGGACAGAGATTAGGAAGGCGTGGCTTACCACAATGGTTCATAACTTGTTTAACTTGAAATTCCTACAGCTACAAATGCAGTGCAAGATCTGATTAGGTTTTAGGCATTCTGGGTAATTAAGGTGGCCATTTTGAATTTCAAGTGTGATATGTATCACTTTGTATCTTGTTTATTATATTTCTCTACGAGTTCAAACATATTCTGAATTTTGGAACAAGGTAATTCAAAGCTGTATTACGCATCTAGGATTGCTAAGATATGAGCTTTTCATAGCAAGCGGAAAAAAGCAATACATGATAGTTAGTGAAGAGATCAATATTGATTATATCTGATCCTGAAAGTTACAGTGATCATGTATTTCAAATCAAAATAGAACAGGAAAAAGTATCCTATATTTCAAATCAAAATAGAACTGGAATGAGCAAACTTACAAAGATATAAGCCTACAGACCTGAAGTTTACACTATGAAAATGTCAGAAAATGACATAGCTCCTTTAAATATACTATTTAAGAGAAATATTGTGAAAAGGAATGATTAATTTATGTATAGATCTTGATTCTGTTATCTAAGTAGAGGAGCACTCTCATTTTTTAAATATTTTTTAAATGTGATTTAAATGATTTTTAAATGTGATTTATTAATGATGACTCAAAAATGAGTACCCTGGATCTTACCAACTAGCCACATATTACTCTGACTATTCCATATGATTTTGCAATTTTGGTGCACCTTATCGATCTCAAATGTAGCTTTCGTAGTCATTATGGGAGTTTGAATGTGAAATCAATGTTAGCAACTCCTAGGAAGATATTGTAGAACTTCATGATTTTCTGATTGCATATTCTGTTGTTTAAAGAGGATGGATCATGTCAGGCTCTTATAAAGGGTATTAATGAGTTTGTTGTTAATGGTTGTCTCTCTTTGAGAGTGCTGATTAGTTGTCAAAGTGAGTCGTTCATGTTTTTCTGAATCTAAATTATGTCACCACCACTAGTTGGGCCCATGAAATGAAGTCTATTTTGAAAATAAGACCCATTTTCTAAGTCAAGAATGAAAGAATTCCTCAATATTGTTTGAAAATGGCAAACCAAATCGTTGATAGTTGATGATACATGAAATCATGAAAACAATATCCATAAAGAACAATATCTACTTAAAGTAATATCCATGATTAAATCCATTAATGGATATAAAAATAATTACCTAAAAGCATGAATGTTAATCTATTATAGTACCAAACATGTATATTAGAAAATATATGAAAAAGCTTGAAAATCCAGGCCCATCAGACAATATTTTCAAAGAGTGTGCATTTCACAATTTTTTACCGATACTAGTTGTATGATGTCAGAGATACGCTGATTCATAACTGTTATGATTGCTTAATTTACCGTTTTCATCTGAATTAGACAATATGCTACATGCACAGTGTATAAGTAATGAAGACCATTGTATTATAAACAAAAATTTAAATTATTTTATTATTAAATTATTTATTTTATTTATTTATATGTTATTTCCTGGGGATTTTTCCGAGTTTTCTGAAAGGGGTGCGACTGCACCAAACACACCCCACCAATCTGACGGGCCTGAAATATTCCTATAGATAAATCATCTGTGAAAGCATGAATGACATATTTTCTTATATTTTTTGATGTACATATTATTTACCATGTTTACTCATTTATTCCAGCATTGTAAAAATAGTCCTCGGTCAAACGTAGTGATAGAACTGTTTACCCCTGTTGTGCAGCGAATCCTCAAACATAATACAGTAAGTAATAAACCTAAAAATTATTCATACAGCTTCATTAGAATAATGGATTATATTTGTACTGATGCTCTTTTATGGCCAAACGTACATCCAACAATTACAATTTTCATCATTATGTCACCACTAGAAGTTGTGGCATATTGTTACAGTCTGCTCCGCTTTTTGTGGATATGATGGTGGTTGGTGTTCGGCAGTCAGCATCTGGAACAAATGGCAGGTGATGACATTTTGCATGTTGTTGCCTTGTTATAATATTTGATTACAGGAAAATGAATGTAGTCTAATGTAAACAAGTCATTATTGGAACTTATAATTTTAACATGCAGAATTCCTTGAAACAACATGTGTAAAAAACAATGTAAAAACAACAGGAAAAATAACGCCTGTAGCCTGCTGCCTTGGACTTATATGAACTACTTTAAGTGATAATTAAGATGCCTCGATCACAGGAGTTTAATCCTAGTGTTTTTGACAAATAACATGCATTAGCTGAAAAATAGAGAGGTTCTTAGTCCTATACATTGCCTCAAAATGCAATATGTGGACATATCTTATTTTCACATTTTCATACAGCCAACGAGATTATTAATGCTCTAATATTAAGTTGGCGTGGTTATGAACTGTTTTTTCTGCGTTATATCAAAGCACAACCATCTAGTTAAAGAGTAAATAAAAGATTCACATGGGGATTCAAACCACAGTCATCCACGTGGTGAGCGAGCATTCTCGCTCTAAACCACCAGTTATTAAGTAATCTCTAGAGTAATTTAACACATATTATTTGAAACCTTTTAATTCAGTTAATTTAGAAACCTTCCAAAAATCAAATTGTTGGTGACAATCTGAGCAATCTAAGGGACAATCTTCATAATAACAATCATCGTGAATATTTGTACATAATAAAATTTGCCCCATTTGGTTACCATTGTATATTCTTTCATTATAGCTCAAAATCTTACAGTTGACCCTGTAACATACCAAGATTGCATTTTAAAGCCATGCGCAGGTTTCATCCTTATCATTGCTCTGGTCAGATACAGGTGAATTAGTAATAAGGATAAAGGGTAGCCTCAAAAAAATTAAAATGATTAGGGGAGTTAAAGCAGGGAGAAAGCTGTGTTCTTGAAGGAGATAATACAACAACAACAACAGGTGATTTGGGCACGAACAACCAGAGAAAGTCACTTAAGGCCAATTAATAATGAAACCCCTCAATGATGCGCAGAATGTGTTCATTTGTGATAGCATACTTGCAATGTTTCAATCCTGTGTCTCCATAGTATAATCCAGGCACTTTATAAAAAAATGAAAAATAATGAAAATGCCGACACTTCATTGTTAGATACACAATGTTCATGATGCCTCTGTGAGATGGGATGATAATCTCCTCAATTCTTTCAAAAACACCTACATAATCTAAGAAGGGATACATCTGTATAATTTAATATCAACAGTGTTTTTTATATTATATTAGCTCGTCTCGTGTCTCAGATGTTTTAAGTGCCTGGATAGTTGTCTAATAGCATTAGCTCATAAGAGGAGAGTACCCAGAGTTCTTTGCTGTTATTATAATGAGCTCATGTATGTCACAAGAGGGGGAATACGCTCCCATCATACCATATTGGCCTTTCTTCATGTCAAGATAAACATCTAATTTTTTATTATTAATCATTTTAACTAGAGATTCTAGTATAATTAAACACATCAGTTTACATAAAGATAAAAGAGTATGTTTATATGCCCATGATCATTCAAAATAATTTTTTTCAGTGCTAGAAATGACAGTTTTCACTTCAACTTTTTCAAATGTAAACTTGTGAGACAATGGTACCATTATTCTCTGAACTTGACAAAAGTCTGCATGAACAACAACAAACCTTGTACATATATGGGTAATTTTGATGGCAATTGATATTTTATTTTAATTGTAAGTGAATCATCAAACAGACAATATGGATACCATCTATGAACTATGGGAAATCTCCTCCTTTGTTATTAAATGTCAGGATCTTAGAATATTAAGCCACCAGAGAAAAGTTCAAGATTTTTTTTCTTGCATTACTCTATGACTTTACTTTATTCCTAAACTATTTTCACCCTTTTTAGCCCATATGGATGAGCTATTGTTATCCGCTCTATTTTTGAGAATAATGGGATTTTATACTTGACTAAATATATTTTTAAACTAAATAAATGTGGGTGAAGCCCTAAAAGGAAACATTACTATGGATTGGTTACATAGAGAGAAATTGAGGCGATATAATTTAAACAACAATTATTTCAAACATTTTTTATGTTTTGAAAAATTGTATTCCATCGATTTGTTCTTATTGGCATAATTTTACCCTCTATATGGCCTAGTATTTTTGTTGAATTACCTTACCATTATATCAAAACCAATAAAATCCGGAAATACTTCAAAGGCCTTGTACTTGTGATATGTAGGTCAATGATATTGGCAAAACGTGTCAACACTGACATATTTTTCAATAATCTCAAAGATTGGATCATAGATGTATTATCTACAGTTGCAACAAATGTTTTTTTGTTATTGCAAGTATACTGTAGTAACACATTTCTCCAATATCCGAAACTTTCCTCATATTTAACCATAATATATTTTCATTTGAAACAACATTTTCTTTAATTTCTCAGTTTTCGTCTGTATGCTCGTTACTTTATTCCTTGCAGATTCCACTCTTAGACTCATGCTTTGATTTACTATGCAAACACTGGAATTTTTACCCGTGGGTGTTTATTTCTTGTTCCCCTGTAATGTGGGTGATTATCTTCTGACAATTTTCGGCTGAATCTCAGGAATTCTTTCAGAAATATTTGGAGGAAAATTTGCATCATTTTGAGAATTCTTGATATCTTATTCTCAAAATATATATGAGCCTGGCCATGGGAAAACCGGTCTTATCACAAAAATCAAAATTGTGCTACAGAGCCAAAAATGTGCCCAAGATTAAGAGGAAAATGTGCTAAATTAAAATCCGACTTTTTGGTCTATATATGCAAGGAAAAAAACTTTAAGACATAAGTCATGGCTCATTTGAAAGGTCTTTTTGTGCTTTTTAAGATAAACAAAAAATCAAAATATTGAAAAATCTGAGATAAGACCCCTTTTCCTTTGGCCTGGCTCATATGTCAACCCCAAAATGGATCATTAAATTATCTAAATTTATTTAGTCATTGAATCATCACCAATTTGATGATTTCATAATTGGTTGATGTTTCCTCTACACACGACAAAGATATCTTAGCTGGCTGCTTATTGTCTTGGAGACATTTCTGCAACTAATTATCATGACATAGAGTTAATCGGATACTTTTATTATTGGTGAGAGTCAGATAAGGTAAATTAGCATGCGGTATTGCGACCTGTATGGACTGGAGGAATCACACCGGATGTTTTTCACACAGAGGTTTAATGGCTATTTATTTGAGATAAGAGATTATATTATCACTGGACGCCTATGCACATTATTTGTAAATTCAAACACTAGCAACACCTCATGAATGGGCATTAAAGTTTTTATTCTTTTTTGGCCTATGGGCAATTGTGAGCTCATGGCATACTGCACACTCGTCCATCTAAATGTCTGTCCGTCCAAACTCCAGTCCATCCATCTGTCAACAATTTTCAGGCAAATAAAAAGTAATTCATCTGAGTCAATGCTCGTATTCATTTTATGGATGATCATGCAGGTAAATTTACAACATTGGTCACAGTTCCTACTCTAGCCACACTTTGGAGAATTCAGCTTTTTTCAGCCTCATTTTGGAATTGTCCCACTGAATGGTCCCATATTTATAAATGGGATAACTTTGGACTTTGCATGATCTAACATTTACGACTACGTGCTATAGTGAGATTCTGACTTATCCTTCAACAGAATCCATATGCTCTTCATTGCATATATGGCAACATGGATTATCATGGCAATCTCTTTATTTGGTATCACAGAATCTCATCTACATTAAGAAAGGAAATGCGACATGTGTCATCTTGGGTGTTTGTTATCATATGACGCACAATATGTCATGTAATACAACACTGAAAGTATACTGTTTCGAGCAAACTTCTGACAACTGGATCATTATTTTTGATGATATACTAAAATGTAATTATTCATTGAACAATTAACTGATTGTTTTTGTTGAATTTTCCCTCTCCAAAATTTGTATAGAAGTTAAGCATTCTAGATTTTTGGGATTTCCCCAACTAAATAAGTTCATGAAAGTGCAGAATGAAATCCTGCGCCAATGGCTGATATGAAAAAGTCAGTCTGCCCAAATGTAATAATAATTAGTCATGTTTGTGGAAAGTGATCATTGGTACAGGCCTTGGTAATCATGTACGTCAAGTATTGTCATGCAGTAGCGTAGGTAATGACATCAACATTAAGTCTCTCATGTTTTCGACACATCATTTTCAATTATGTCATAATACCATATCAGGACATAATTAATTCATGCGTTGGTAAGAGGGGTGAATACCCTAACCTTTTTGAATCCGACATTATATTACAGTGATTTACTAATGCATCGATGAGAGAGGTGAATACCAAATATCCTATTCAACAATTCTTCACAGTCTTCGCTAAAAGAATTGTCTCTAATTGAAAGAAGATAGAAGTGGACTATTGTGGAGAGTTCAGTCTTCTTAATCTCTTTTGTTACTGGCTATCACATTTTTTAAAACGTGACACCATCATTCTTTACAATCTTAATGATTCTATTAATATTGAAATATGACAAAGTTAGAAATTAGGTACTTAGCCTAGTAGCACCTGAGTCTCCTAATACGTCACACAAATACGTGATGGAAATATCATATTTTTGAAATGAGTGAGTGAGAGTGGATGAAACAATGGTTAAAGTAGACAAGCCTATCATCAATAGTAAGACCTAGCTTTTGGTAAGGGGGCTTATTTTTTCAAAAATTTTAAGGGCCATGGGGGGTTAACATTTGAGAAAATGCATGATTTTCAAAAAATATTTTGGCCAGGAGGGCATGAAAAGAAGAATTTGATGCATGAAGTGACTCTGAATAAATGCACGTAGACGGAAATTGAAGTATGTTAGATTGCTTATTTTTAGAATAAAAAAGAGAATATTTCATAATAGCTTGTATTTGAGGATATCCTGCGAGGCACACAGGTATAGGATATTAATATCGCAAAAATTGTCACCGTTGTGAATTTGATACTTGCGTCAGGGAAGACTACATCCTGTTCATGTCTGAGATGATTGAGTCATAATTGTTGTAATTACGATTGTTATTTCATTTGACGTTTCTGTTCTTGTTGATGAAATTATGAGAAAGCTATTAATTGTGTTATCTGATTTCCTCCTTTACAATATGATCCATCCCTTTTCAAGTTTTAGTTTAATGGATAGAAAAATCAAAGCTTTAGAGCAAAATTGACTTTTCTCATTGAACGACCTCTACAGTGGGAGTGGACATCTTGACTCAATAGGGAACGTAACAGAATTATGATAAAGTATAAAAGTTATGTACAAAAAAATAGAGAAGACAGTTCCTGGGACCATATACCACATGCAAATCATAAAACATCATAAAACCTCATCTCCTGCTTGGCTGTACCGATTCCTCTGGCATAATGTTTAATAACATACATCCTTTCCAGTTATGCAACCTATACATGTACTTTAGAAATCATAAAACCTCATCTCCTGCTTGCCTGTACTGATTCCTCTGGCATAATGTATAATAACAAACATCCTTTCCAGTTATGCAACCTATACATGTACTTTAGACATCGTAAAACCTCTCCCCTTGGCTGTACCGATTCCCCTGGCATAACGAATAATAACAAACATCCTTTCCAATTATGCAACCTATACGTGCACTTTAGACATCATGAAACCTCTCCCCCTTGGCTGTACCGATTCCCCTGGCATAACAAATAATAACAAACATCCTTTCCAATTATGCAACCTATACATGTACTTTAGACATCATAAAACCTCTCCCGCTTGGCTGTACTGATTCCCCTGGCATAACTAATAATAACAAACATCCTTTCCAATTTCGGTACCTATACATGTACTTTAGTCATCATAAAACCTCTCCCGCTTGGCTGTACCAATTCCCCTGGCATAACGAATAATAACAAACATCCTTTCCAATTATGCAGTGATCAAATAAATCTTGGTTAATCCCTTAATTGATTAGAACTTAATCAGTTTCCCTCGGAAAATATTGACTCTCTTCTTGAATGTATTTATTGGATTGTGTTATCTACGATGTCATTTGCTCTGTTCGTGCTCGTTATTTTTTGCTCGAAAGGCAGTTCTTTAACCATGCAGAGTTACAAGCGGGGTATATTGAAACTACCAGATGATTGGAAATATATGAATGTGAGTTTTATACCTAAATTATGTTGCAACCAAGAATTGAAGACTTGACTTATTGTTACAGTCACCATTTTTGTGAAAATCCGCATCTGTAACAAATGATTTCACTTTTGTAAATGTAGCAAAACAGAGAAATTTTGTCATGTAATGCCTTTTGTGTTCTTTTGTTTCTAATTATCCCATCGAACGAAGTTCGGAGGGATATAGGGAACGCCTCCGTCCGTCCGTACGTACGTACGTACGTACGTCCGTCCGTCCGTCCGTCCGTCCGTCCGTCCGTCCGTCCGTCCGTCCGTCCGTCCGGGCAATAACTCAAATACCGTTGGCCTGATTTTATTCATATTTTGTAAACATATACCCTATGGGGGTAGAAGTTCTGCTCGAAAGCCGATTTTCAAAATGGCCGCTCATTTAAAAATGGCGGCCATTTTAGTGCCGATTTTACAGTAATTTAGGTGTAATATGTAAAACTGTAGTAGCAATATGTTTTAAATGTAAAAAAATTATATAGGACATTAATAAAGCTAGAAATGTAGATATTAAAAAAGCACATGGCAGCCATCTTGAAAAATGGCTGCCTTTACTCATTATTTTACGATTTTTGCTGTAACTCGAAAAGTATTGGAGCGATTTTGTTCATATTTGGTATGTGAATACTATAAGCATGGCACACTGTCTAATGACACTTTTGGTAGAAGGCGGCCATTTTGAAAAATGGCTGCCATTTTAACTTATTTTACTAAAACTCGAAAAGTAGTGGAGCGATTTTGTTCATATTTGGTATGTGAATACGTATAAGCATGGCACACTGTCTAATGACACTTTTGGTAGAAGGCGGCCATTTTTCAAAATGGCCACCATTTTAACGTATTTTACTATAACTCGAAAAGTAGTGGAGCGATTTTGTTCATATTTGGTATGTGAATACTATAAGGTGTCACTCCTGTAAATAGCACTTCCGGGTAGGACAGTGTTTTTTAATACTTTAAAAAAGAAGCCATGCCAACTTCAATGGTGTGTATAGTAGGTTTAAGTGTATGCAATGTGGCCATTTGAGGTATGTCTGTAAAGCTGAGGCCAAGTACTTTCTAAATGTGCCATTTTAAGAAAAAAATCGCAAGAATATAGTCCCGTAAACTGGAACTACTTTACTCGTTAATTTTCATCGGTGAAGTAGAGATTTTACCTAAAAATGAGTCCCTATGTTGGCGTAGTGATATTTAAAAATCGAGACGCAAACCCTATGTTAAATATAGTGTCAAGATGAAGGTTATGTATAGGGGAACGCAGAAATATGGTCATTGTTTGGGCTAGTTCGTTCGAAAATGGCGATATGTACCCCAGAACTTGAATTTTGTGATTTTTTTCAATATTTTTCAATGATTTACCGTAGTGACACCATAAGCATGGCACACTGTCTAATGACACTTTTGGTAGAAGGCGGCCATTTTTCAAAATGGCCACCATTTTAACGTATTTTACTATAACTCAAAAGTAGTAGAGCGATTTTGCTCATATTTGGTATGTGAATATTATAAGCTTGGCACACTGGTTAATGACACTTTTGGTAGAAGGTGCCCGTTTTGAAAAATGTTCGATGGGATTCGCTACGCTTTGGCGTTGCCGTTGTTCTGGTTGAAAATGTTTGAAGAAAATAATCGATAACACTCAACGTAGACTCAATTTTCATCTTCCTCAGATCAGAGAAATGTATGTAATGATAAGAACCAGATAATTAAGTTATCTTGGCCTAATTGGTGATAAATTGAATCAAACACAGAATCAGAGAATTATCTTACCTTAGCCTAATTGTTGATAAATTGAAGCAAACAATGACCAGAATCAGAGAATAAGCTTAGCTTGGCCTAATTGTTGATAAATTGAAGCAAACACAGCATCAGAGAATTAACTCACCTTTGCCAAATTGTTAATAAAATGTAATGCAATGATTATAATCAGAGAATTAAGTTATCTTAGCCTAATTGTTGATAAATTTAATCAAACACAGAATCAGAGAATTAACTCACCTTTGCCTAAATGTTGATAAATTGAAGCAAACAAAAGTAATGCAATGACCAGAATCAGAAAATTAGCTTAGCTTGGCTTAATTGTTGATAAATTGAAGCAAACACAGCATCAGAGAATTAACATACCTTTGCCAAATTGTTAATAAAATGTAATGCAATGATTATAATCAGAGAATTAAGTTATCTTAGCCTAATTGTTGATAAATTGAATCAAACACAGAATCAGAGAATTAACTCACCTTTGCCTAATTGTTGATAAATTGAAGCAAACAAAATGAATGCAAACATTGATGAAACAGTGATGAATGATACAAAGAGTATTCACCTATAATGATGTCATTGATTCCAATTCATCTCCATTCCTTCCAAAAATATAAACACATTATTCATTTCTTCAGAGAAATCAATTTATTTTATCGCGACTTTCGATCTATATCCACAAGTCTTTTTCAAGATTGAATTTTGAATAATATAACCAACAGTAGCATAGCAATAGCATACATATATATTATTTGTTATTCATTTTCTAAGATATTTTGTACTATTCAGAAATAGAATTCATGGCGCATGACTAGTTAAGTATCATATTTCCAGATGTTTTATCATTTTCTGTTTGTTTTGTTGTAAAGTAGATTGATCATTATGTTATTTACCATGTCAGATTATTGCAAAATGCACCTTTATAAAGTACACATTATTGTTTCCCTTTGGCGAGAATTATTTGTTTGTTGATTATGCTTATTAGATAATAGAGAAATCAACGAGGCATCAAGTGACCAATTTTGCTCCACCCCGTATGAAATTGTATTAAATGTAGGGAAATCAATTGCTCAATGAAAAGCTAGGGATAATGAGCTTGATCTACATTGAGCCTGCAAATTGAGCCGAAAGGGGTTTGTTGCTATGTCGATAAAGATGTTTTCAGTGAAATCAGGAAATCAGTTCACCAGTGTGAAATCATGGTCAATCACATTTATATTTAACACAATACATGTATTTGAAAATTCCACGCATTTTCTAAAGAATGACTCTTGAAAAAATTTAATATGAATTTTAACTCAAACTGGATGGCTTAGACAGAATTTTTGACAAAATATCTGTTCACATAATTTCTTTTTTTGCAAATTTTTCATAAAACCACCTCCAACTTCTTTATCATTGGTTGATTTTATAGGCTCATGATCTTCAACGTTTAGTCAACCTTATTGCATTTATTAATCAACTAAAAATTGATTCATTTCGGAAAGGTATTTATTGGATAGTGTTTTTTCTAGGGTTACATTTGTTTTGCTCATGCAGATAGTAAATAGAATTATTTGTAATTTGTCACTCCTCTTCAAAGGTCATATATCGCTATGAATAAACAAATCTTGCTCCTATTACTATGTTTTTATTTTCAGGATTTTGGGAAGTATCCAAGAATGCGTACTTTTGTTACGGAATACATTCAGGCGCTGAACTCTCAAAATGATGGCCACAAAGTTGTCCAGGCTTTTGTTCACAGGTGAGTACTTGATTTCAATAGATATGGTTTATAGGGGTTTTGTTCCTTTACTTTTTTCTAAGGCAGCCCTTACTTTGTCATATTTTGGAGACAGCAGATTTGATAATTTGTCATTTTGTTTCTTTCAAAATAGCGAATAGAAAACACATTTGATTGTTTTTTACACTATTATGATTATAAGAATTGGATAAAAGTGTCTTCCACTATACTTTCTGTATTCTCGTTTTATAGTTTCATTACAGAAAAATCTTACTTTAAATAGCTTTCAGGTCAAGAGTCAATCCTTAAGTGAACAAACATTCATACATATAAAAGGAAATAATAAATTTGCTTTAAGTAAATAAACATCAAGTTGCCCAAAATGTTCCTTGTATTTCTTCATGTATGTTTCTTTTCCAGTATGCATGGTCCTGGGTCAAATTGTCCCCATCCACGGGTCCTGCCTAACCTAGTTGCTGTCTGTCTGGCCTCTATATATAACTGCTACGAAGATAAGAAGAGGTAAGAAAAAAATCAAAGATGTCAAGTTTTAAAATAAAAATAGAAAAAACAGTTAATGCTTTAAATTGTGAAGAAATACAAGAAAATCCAACATTATAAATTCAAAATTAGATTGGAAAAGAGTGGATTGAGCAAAGACTAAAGTAAACAGGGATATAGTTAAGGCTCTAAATTTTATAGAAACGCAAGAAGCCTTGCCACTTTTTGAAATTGTTTTGAGAAATGGCTAAAATAAGCATGAGCAGATGGAAACTGGAATTAGGAGGAATTGAAGCAAATAGGCATGAAGGCATAACATTGACTCTTTAAATTGTTGAGAAATATCAGAAAATAAAGCATTTCAGGACTTCATATAATGCACAGAAAATCTGTAAAACACGACTGCATGAGAGTTTTAGCTTGATGGTTTTGCGCCATTATCAGTATGAGTAAATCTCCCTCAAAGTTACCTCTTTTTGCATCTCAGCAAAGATTTATAAAGATATTTCTCAAACTTTATACATGTTTGTACATGGATTGAACTGTAATATCAACGAATTATCACCTTTCACTTATCACTTGATTACAAATTTCATATTAGGACATTCCAACAATGCAGAGCTGTTGATTAATTCAGTGGGCAATTTATGATTAATACCTGCCATCTGAAAATACCAATTAAACTTTTGACCTTATATCTAATATCTTAATTTGTTTTCAGTAATTTGAATATCCACAGTACGAATCAAGAATCGGCTTGCTGGTTGGAGGAAATTGAAGGTCGTCTCAAATGTTTCACAAACATGTTTTGTACAATGTAAGTATATGTTGGTACAATGCTCAAGTATATGTTCTTAAGCCTTAATTTTGACTATTGACAGCATTTTAGTAACCATGGAAACCAGCATCTTTAACCCATCGTGAAAAAGTTAACAGGCATATTGTTAACAGTTTTAAATTGTACATTACATTGTAAACAATAGCAAACACAATATACACCATAAAGTTCATAAATACACTTGTTAATTAAAGTTCCAAAAAACAAAAATATATCAACATTTGGATATAGATTTTGAATAAAGAGGTTAAATATATTTAAGTTGAAATGCTGATACGGTGAAATGCGGAAAAGTCGCATAACCATGTTAACAAATTTAATTTTTTAGATCTGAGTATGAAGACTGGCGGCCCAATCTTAGCAGTTTACTTCAACCTATACCATTTCCTGATGAGTAAGTATAAGCATTCATATGCCACAATGTACATGGATTATAGTTGATAAACAAGTTAATAAGCTAGACACACACATGTCTCTAATCTGCAATAAAGACTTGAAATACATGCATCAGAGGTTTCTATTCAAATTATTATCATGCAAAGTAAGAAAAATCACCAATAAATTTATGGATTGTTTGTGGCGCATTGATAATCCATAAATATGGCAGTCAATTTTAAATGAGCCAAGGTTGGTTTGATGCTAGATTCATATACAAAATATAATATAAGCAATATTTAGCATAATGTTCAGTCAATTGAACAAATATTATGGCTTTCCTTATTTAGTTTCATTTCATTTGACGTTTCCTCTGTTTTAGGGCTTTGGCTGACAAAACATTTACAACGTGTTTAAAACAAGTCATTCAGAATATATCTGAAGACCACAAGTGCGACGTGCATCGTGCAATACTCGGTATACGAGAAGGAAAAGAGGGGTGGTTCCATCTATATTGTCCTGGTGGAATCGCATGCGATGATGAGGGTGAACTGTATGGTGTAATGGTAGGTATCAAAAAAAACTTACAGGAAGTATATCAAACAAAAAATCTTGGTGCAAAAATGCAATAAAATATCACCTAATCAGAAATGTAACTCCCCCTCCCTCACTGGCCAATATCAACTTAAGCATTAAAATGACAAATATAACAGGATAAAAGCGCATTGAAACACCTTCAAATGTATATGGGCTCACTGACTTCTCTTCGCAGGCTTTCCTCTGACTGGGTGAAAAAGTCCCATTTTTAGAAATGTGTTTTTAACTTAAAATGTGCAATAAATTAGTTTTGCAAGGTCAGTTAAAATGTTTCATCTGCGGATGAATCTGTACTGTCTAGAACTCCATATATAGTAATGACACATTGTGGGATTAATCACAACATTTATCCCAAGAAAAATCTAGATCATCCAAAGTTTAACCAATAGATGCCTTGTGGTGAAAAATTAAATTAAATAAAATAGATTTTCGCAATCTAAATTTTAGGATCATATGGTCGATTTTACTGCCCTTGGTTTCAACCACCCAGTGCCTCCTTGCTTCTTAGGTGGTAACCAAATTTCATCTTGTTTTTCCAGCTCAAGATGCTGATCTCGTGTTGCTGTCGTCGGAAACGGTTTCTTGAGAACCTCAACAAAATGATCGGTCCCTGCATGCTGCTTGCCCTGCGTGAAAATGAGGCTGCAATGGAGGTAAGTAAAGGGCATTGTGGTTGTGTTTTAAAATGTCTGTATTCGGAAGTTACCTCAATATACCCATAGTGGTGATGAGAATAAATACTTGTACAGGGTGAAACAAAATATTCGTAAGTAACCTCCATGTACTCTAACTGTGGCGATGAGAATAAATACTGGGTGACACAAAATGTAACCCTCCAATTTTGGAATAACTCACAATGTGTCACAACTCACTTTACTTATGAGTGTTAAAATCCATGTAACATTGGCATACAGATATAGCATCAACACTGCACTTTCATGAGATAACATTTTCCATCTCTGCAAGCCATTGTATTGTATAAATGTTCCAAATATATCGTAATTTTTTGCTCTATTGCCATTGTTTGAATCATTTTTTGGCTGCTTTTATAAATACATGTACTGTTATTCTACTTAATTTGATGCTATTTAATTTGGCGAATTTGTCAAAATCGGAAAATTGGCTGAGATTTAATTTGGCAAATTTAGCAGGACTAAATACCCATGAAATACCTCAGAAACTGCATGACTAGGGGAAATATCCGACATCTTGTCTCTTCTTGTACTTCCCTTTATGTGGCTCCCCCTTCTGACGCAACTCAGAATCGAGATTGGAGAGATGGAGAAAATGTTCAAATGTTTGACTTCATCTTTTCCTAAGGTGCTGTGTGCCATGCTTGAGCTAGAAGTAGTGGACAACAATGATGTAAAGATGCAGATGATCACAACGTTACAGAGCACGTCACACGGCAAGAAGATGTACGCAGAGCTGTGTGACCGCCAGATAGCCCTCAGAGAACTTGTAAGTATCCTGTATAAATATACACTTTCACCCAATAACCCTAAATACTCTTACCTAATAAGTCGAAATCTCACCACCAAAATTTGCACAGTACAAGAAGGCAAGTTTATTGTGTACTGTAGGTACATTCAGATTTTAAAAAGAAAAAGTTTGGATTATACGGATCATATCACTCTCTTCATTACAGCAGCAGAAAGGAGGACCAAAGAAGCTCACATTACCCACAAAGTCTACAGACCAAGACTTGGGAAAACTCCTCAGTTCCGGTTCATTTGGTAACCTAGAGTGTCTTAGTCTCGCCTTCACACAGGTCACAAGTTCCTGCGCCAATGACCTTATAAAACTGCCCTCGTTGAGATACCTTAATCTCTGGTCTACACAGGTAGGTTACTTATTCAGCCTCATTCAGCTCTACGGCAGCAAATCGTACTACTTATCCCTATATCTTATGCTGCATATTTCTCTCGATTCTGGGAAGTTACAGCCGTCATACGGTTAACATAGATCACATGTGACCGAGGCATGAATAATGGGGAGATCTATTGAGTGGTGGCTGGATTTCTTAAACTGTATCATTTTTTCCTTAAAGATGACCTTTTGTGTCCCTTGACTCTTTATCTTCAAAGACCGAGCAGTAGTCATGAGTAATGTCCAAAAAATTATGTACAGTATACGTTGTGTTCCATGTTATGTTAACAATTACTATTAAGGTGCAACTGGAAATTGTCTCGTCATAATGTTTTATACAGGGCTAATGCTCATAATAATTGCTGGTGTCCCAAAATAATTATTTGTTTTGTTTTGGAGATATATCATTGGTGTCTCATAAGAATTTTGTGTTTATGTCTGGTAACAGTGAACCTCGGTGAGATCCTATTTGTGTCTCATAACAATTCTGTGTTTTAGTTTGGTGACACTGGGGTGCAGTTGATATCAGAACATCTCCAGAAACTACAAGTGTTGAATCTCTGTGAGACACCAGTCACTGATAGTGGGCTCAGCTGTCTTTCTTGTAAGTAAACTAAAGCAGTTTATAATATTTATTTGGAAGAGTTCATTAATTAGTGGAAGAAGTAACATAATTTTTTGAGTTTACTTCAATTTATTGGTGATTTTAGAATTCTTAAAAATTGATGTAAATTCATTTTGTAAATCGGTGACAATTTTGAGATTATTTGTGAGTGAAAATGTTCCGATAAGTGAAAACTGATCTGTATTTTGTTGATTTAATTCAAATTAAATAGATTCTTAAGGAATATATCAATATATACATGATGTACATAAAAATAAGTTAACACTTTTGGGAAAATCATCAATATAAATGATGTTTAATTGATTGGCATCATAATTTGATTTGCCACGAAGCATAATTGGTTTTTGCACATTTTGATACATTCTATTGATACATTGCCTTGAAGGGTTGCGTAAACCTTCCCGTATAAATACAATATGGTGACTCAAGACGAGTCTAACATTTTTAAGAAATTAGTGGAGTTAGGTACAGGTATATTCCAGTTTATTCAAATCGTCTCATGAAGATAAAACAATCCGTATGGAAAGTTTACAATCTATAAATATTGAGAGGTTGAGAGGGTGAATTATCCAAAGGATGCAAGAACCAATGTAAATCCTGGTATTAGTCCTTGTATTGTTTTGAACTCTAAACATCTTTGTTTTTCAGCTTTGAAAAGTTTACGCAAACTTAACCTTAATAGCACCAACTTGTCAGCATTAGTGTTTGAGGGGCTCAAGGTGAGTACATATCCGAAAACCTGAAAGCGTTTTATATTCTGAATACAGAAAAAATAACAGATTTAATTTTGTTATTTGTCATTGTATATTTGTCTTCATGCAATGTTCAAGCTAAGAGGATGTGTATATGTATACTAATTTAAGATTTGAAAAATTTGAAATCTCTTTATACAAATATGTACATGTAATAATTTTTATATTTCACTTATGTGAAAATGCAATTATCACACAATTTCATTTTCTTAGGTGTCACTTACATCACTTACATATTAAATACCCAACATGGGCATTCATCGGGATTAAATGGAAGATATGTAATTGTTTTTGTATCAAACCCATAAGTTCATTGTTATTGCACCTTGATAAAGCACTGTATTGTCGTCATCTTTGTTGTGCTATGAATGCATGACTGGGTGGGTGCCACTAAACATGTTTTTCAATATGTTATACACGTATTAATTTAATTTCAGGAAAAGTTACCTGCGCTTCAGGAATGTGATGTCAGATATACAGATGCCTGGTAGTGTCATGTGACATCACCATTTTGTTATGTCACGTGGCATCACATTCAGTTTAAACACATTGCCTGACATGTGATATCAAAGTGCATCTTCGGCAATTTTAATCTGCCAGTGGACTTCACAACAGAACAAATGTGTCAGATGACATCATCAGAAAAATGTGTCAGATGACATCACAGTCCTAAGAGACCTGCCATAGGAACCAATAGGGAGCTACCATGGAAACAAAAAATGTTTTCCCTTTGAGGATAAGAGCAAGAACAGTGATATTGCTTATCCATCATCCTAGCCCCTTCAAGGATATATCTCATATCCATAGGATAAATCCAATATCCAATGTTATCTCTATAGATAATCTCTACTGTAAGCTATGGTATTGAGTGATATTGAGGAATGTTGTGCCTGAAATTTTTAAGTGTACTGCATGAGACTACCCACCTAAAAATAATGAAGTCGTGCGATAAATACTACAACCGTTTCAAGAGTTGTAGTTCAAGAAACTGTTCGCGAAACAAGTCAATCAAATACAATTGAACTACACTACACTACACAGGTGGATTTGGGTTATACATCTTGGAATGTATTTCTCTTGTTTTTTTTATTTATTCTGTTTTTTTCGCTCACAAGATGAGAAATTGGACACTCTTTGAAATAAACAAACAGATACACTTATTACAAAGAGTGGATTTTTGGATATTACAAAATGGATTCATGGATAGGATGGATATCAATGGATACATAATGTTAAGTGAGTGATACTAAATGTTGATTATGTGAATTTATGTGGATTTGACAGATATTAATCTACGGATATGATTATTTGAGAAATTACAAGGAGAATCTGATGGTTTAAGTAAAACTACATAATGTGTGCTGGCACACAGATTATTTGTAGGACATTCAAAGTTTCCACCGCAAAGGTGTTATTATATTATATGTATGCTCGTTGGATCAGAGTTGGGATATATATCCGGATGAAATCACAATGGATATGTATCAAAGAAAATGTATATATGATATATATCTGAATAAAATATGGATCCCTATACAGATTAAATGAGGATCCAGTATCAGGAAAAACATGGATATTTGTTTGGAAAAATAAGCAGATATCGGAAGAAATATTTGAAATATGGATTCGTTGGGAGTGATTAATGTGGATACTTGTTTGGATGGATATCAACATCAGATTGGAATGTGATTTATATTGACAAATATCCGGATGATGTCTTATGAAATATGTGTATATATCTGGATAAAATATGTACATTTCTTCGACAAATGCTGAGTCAGTGTTGTTATAAACTATAAACTATTCTTAGATGTAAGAAGGTACGAAAATGTGAGATTGTCAAAAAATGGTGCTGTAGGTTCAAATCACAGATGTATGAATTGAAATTAATTGGGATTAATTTCAGGATTGAGAGAAAAATTGGCACCATGAATACTTTAAATAAGCTGGCCTTATTCAGTATTTATTTTAAAAGTGGGACAGTGATTTGATTATGGAGCTGTCACATGTAGGCCTTGTGGGCTCACCATTCGCTGCCTTGTGAATACAGACAGACAGCAGGGCTTGGATACACAGTGAGCAAAACAAATTTTACATCAAGTTTTACAGCAGATATCCTCCATCACACCTAATACAAAAATTAATTAATTAAAAAAGTGAATGCCCAAAATTGGCTACACAGTGGCCAACGGTGAGCCCACACAGCTCATGTGACAGCTGCTTTTGACACAATTCTGTACTAGATGTGTTCGGTAATGCTGATTTAACAGAAAAAGTATCACCACTTCAAGGCTGCCATATTATCGCTGAGGTGTAAATCTGTAAATAGCCCAATCGTAAAATGGTCATGTGACCAATGATATTCCTTATGTTAAATGTGTAATTTTGTGAATCTTTTTTTTAAAAATTGCAAACTTATATATGGTTCTTACATGGCATTCATAAATTTTCTTGGGAAAATTAATGTCTAGAATGCTCATTTATGTCTAATGATCATTCGTGTCAATGATCACGTATTTGAATGTATCTTCTCCATGAAATTATCAAACTGTTATCGAGGGTTATGTTTTGACACAATTGTACCAAATGTGGCGTTACTGTATAATTGGTATTTAATCTGAGTGGTTAATTTACTGAATGGTAAAATTTTAGATTTTCCCATGACAAGAAACTTCCCATTTGATAACATTAGGAAGATAATATTTCTGACAAAAATTAGACAATAGGCAAATTAGATGATAAGCCATTATAATCACTTATACAGTATTTATGAAAGAAATATTTAAGTTGGGGTATTCCTGGGAGGCATATCGAGAAAGCAGTTCTTATGCATTTATCTCAATTGTGCAATGTGAGTCATTCTCATATTCAGTATTTGAGTTCTAATTTGAAGATCGTGGCAGCTTTAAAGAGAACATTGTCCCCCCAAAAAATTATTGTCCCACATTTATGCCTACCAGGCGCTATTTCTGTAAGACACGCACTGATTGGAATCAGAACAATTGATATGAAATGCAATATTTATTTTATTTTACAACTTATTTGAAATAAGGTAATACAATTTATTTTTCCCAAGAAATTGTGTGAAATACCATGATGTGCAATCTAATAGTTAACTAAAAGAAAAAGTGCAATGATCTGTGATAAAATGGCAAAATGGTCATGTTTTGAAATCAAATATGGTAAAAATGAGTGGAATTTGCAAGAAATAATGTTAAGAACATGTGAATACTCTGAATTGTGTAAAATTGACAGAAAATTTGTTCATTTATTGAGATTTTAGTGAGAAATGGCAAGAAAAAAGCATGACCAAATTGACATTTTATACACCAGAGCCACCTATTGTAACAAACATGTAAATGATGTGCCTTATTGGTGTTCTCTAAATGTAGGAATCGGAGAAAAGAAAATATGGCATATGAGTTGGTCTAAAATGCCAACTCTCAGGATGGTCAATAGTCTTAGGTGAAATTCTGTTTGATTTAAATCTATGTTTGCTGTTTTGTTTGATCTACATAAAAAAAGTGTGATGTACATTTATTGTGATGTTTAATAAATGTTATTTATTGATGATTTACAAATCATTTCACGTGGTTCTGTACGGAACAAATTAAGCATAGTTCATATTGCTGCCTTTTTGTTTAATAGTTGTTTGATTTTCAGATTTTAAGTGTGAATTTCAAATACAACAGTACAGTTCAGTACATGCACAATAAAACCTTCATTGAAATTGCCAAAAATGTTTTTGATGTATGAATGTTCAATTAACACAAAATCTTAATGTCAATGTCTTTGATGAAAACACCTCTGTGTGTGGCCTTTTCAAGTGGAAATACTAAAGAAATAATCACTTAGACTTTCTTTATTGCACAAAGTTCCAGAATATTTGCAAGTGTATTTATGTATTTGATAGAAAAGGCATAAGGTGGAAGCTCATTTTCTGTTGTGGCGTAACAGAACAGTGTTTCTCATATAGAGATATATAAAGAATATCTGCAAGTGACCATATATTGTCATGTTCTATATAGGTCATGATCTTTATATGGCCATGGCCATGTTCTATGGTCATGTTCTATATATGGCCATGTGCTATATATGGTCATGTTCTAAATATGGCCATATTCTATATAGGGCATGTTCTATATATGGCCATGTTCCATATATGGTCATGTTATGGAGTGGGAAATTGAAATTAGAAGTTAAAAGATAATTTAAGTTAAAAAGCTGAACATGTACATCACTGCATCAATCATATTATAGAAATGATTCAAAAACTTTCGATTTTTTTTTTAATATTCGTAAAATTTTGTTGAATCATATGGTCAGATTCTTCATGTCCTTAGTTGTATCAGATTATACATTAGCCATAATCTGTTGGAGAAACTTTTTTTTTGATTTTACGAAATATTTCTGGTCTTATTCCATCATTCTTTTCTATTAAGCTCTTGGACCAATGGAATCGCCACGCATTACCCCTTTATTATTCCTCTACCATTGTGCTATTTTCATTGATCTTGTCATTTAACAATACAAAAACAAATTTTGGATATTTCAAATAAATAAACCGAGAAAACGATTGATTGGACACATTAAAATACATGAAGATGCATTTATTGAATAATCTAATTTTTTTATAATTAATTAAGATGAGCATTTAGTATTGATTTGCAAATGCATTTATTGCTCTAGAGATTGAGTCAGCATCATTACTTATATTTTAACATTTGCATATGTTTATTGCCAGCATGCCAGTCTTTATACATGCAGAATTTTTAACATTTCCTGGAGACTTCAACAAGTTCTTCACCTTGCACAAGTTTATTTTACTCAAAAAATGTTACTGTTGGTATGTATTTGATACAGCTAATTATGTACCTTTATTGTAACTTGGTACAGTAAATCCTGTATCTTGGCACAGATAATCATGCATGTTTATTGTAACTTGGTACAATGAACCATTTATGTTTATTGTAACTTGGTACAGTAAACCATGAATATTTAAAGTAACTTGAAAATAAACCATGTACATTTATTGTAACTTGTTACAGTAAACCAGGTATGTTTATTGTAACTTGGAACAGTAAATTATTTCTGTTTATTGTAACTTGGTACAGTAAATTGTGTATGTTCATTATTATAATTATTGTCGTATAATTCTGAATAAAAATGAAAATATGTATTGTATAAAAATGAAATGATATTTTGTCACCTTATCTTTATTCCACTAAGTTTGAAATTATATATCTTATCCCTAAGGGGATGAGTCAAAACATAATTGTGCCTCCACCCCCCCCCCCAGAGATGGGATTAAATTGTTTTTGGAAGATAGCAGGTGGATCAGAAACATTTTCCCAAAAAATGAAATGCTAGAAATTGTGTATAATGGTTCACCCTGTTTATGCTACATGTTATTCTCTTGAGAACATGTATAAACACAACATAGAAATTGAACCATTATATAAACATATGTCCCATCTTAATTCCCCATACA